TGTGTGTGTGTGTGTGTGTGTGTGTGTGTGTGTGTGTGTGTGTGTGTGTGTGTGTGAGAGAGAGAGATGCAGGGTTTAGTTTGAGTTGGTCTAATACACTGAGGGAGAAAAAGAACGACTGCTCTATTCTCATCATAACAAAGCTACTTGAAAGAAATGTATACAGCTGCCCTGCACCTTGCCTGTCCACAAAAGGCATTTCTCTTCAGAGAATGTTAGGAGTTTGAAAAATCTAACAGAACTTCTTGCCCTTTTTCCTGTATCCATATCATTCTACAACATTTAAGTTGTGTTTAATGTTTTTCTGCACAATTTCACAGAAGCCTGAGCTACAAGGCTAAATAATTCATCTTGTGCAGCCAGGTCAAAGCAAACTTAAGTCTAGTAAAGAATGCAATCATTTATCCAAGACCAAGGGTGACATGCTCAATTTGACCTAAAATAAAGCTTTGTGGTGCCCACAGGAACAGTATCAAGCGTGCGCTTCACTGCATATGTTTTCGTGCATATTTTGGAAAACTAGGTACGTCAAGCTACAGAACTGCCACAACTATAGGCCGAGGCCAGATCCTTGGTTTGTATGGACTTCCTCCTGTGTGTGGAGAGCAGAAAGCTACATTATTAATCTTCACTTCAGAAGTGCCTACAGTATGTTTCTTGTAAAACAGTCAGTCCACTCACTTTAAATGAGAGAAACATAAAAGAATAAATGAGTAAAGCCATAAAACCATGGCCTTTGTCTCTGTCCCTTTCACAGTGTCTGTCTTAAAGTCTGATCCAACAGAGTACCCATGGCAATCATGAATTGCTTGGAGTTTTTTTCTGACTTTGGTAGTGTGAAGCTTTCCCATCATTCCCTGAAGTGTTTAATGTTCCTATTGCTTGTGGACAGGCCTACCAAAGACTTCAGCTTGGTTGTGTAATGACCGTCATTAACCTATCAAGATTTGCCGAAGGGTCCTGGCTGCTTTTTCCCACCCCCTCCTGCCACTTTCTCTGCAATACTAAAACCAAGATGGCTCCGTTAAGTCCTTGCTCATGCCCTCCAGGGAGCAGAGAACACCAAAGTCTACAGTCTAATTGGATTCATTTATAAAATAGCTGTGGAGAGTTGGACATTATCTATCTATGTACCCATGACTAGAATGCAGCTCATTCTCCCCATTGGACATTTATTTTTTTCCCCCTGTCACTATTTCAGTTAAAATGTGGTCTCTTGATGGCCTGGAGTGCTTTTCTTGTTTTTATTGAATTCTCATGTTCATTGAATAATGAATTCTTTTCAGTGCATATGCCTTCCTTTTGTACAACACAGGCACTGATCTGAGAAAGGGCCACTTGGGTTAAATATGGTATTAATGCTTTGCAGCAGTGAGTGAATGGAGCTTTGTCAGACTACAAAAAAAGGGTTAAAAACAACTGATGAAATGCTTTGTGCTAGTATGTGGATCTAAAGAATCTCAAGGAGTGCACCAACTTTTCAAACTGAACCACCTTTTTTAAATCAAATTGATATTAATTCAGTATTTACTGAATGTGCTTGTAGAAATTATGTTAGGCCACAAGCTTGCCACAATGTCCTGTCACCAGATGTGTTGTTAGTAATTTGTAGACCTCTGGAGTATCATTTCGTTGCATTGTGTCCTACCCCAGCTGCATCTGCTAGTGTTTTGTTTGGTACAGCTCAGAGTGTTTTGTGTTTGTGTGTGAACCTGTGTCTGTGTCTTTGTATGTGTTTGTGTTCGCTTTTGTGGATGATCATCAGATAAAGGGTGTTGAAAACCACAAATATCAAGGATGCTGGTAAAACCAACATCCATCATGCATAACTCCTCCCATTCCCTGCACCACACAGTGGTGACTCTGAACAGTTCTTTTAGCACGAGACTGTTACATCCCCAGTGTAAGAAGGAGCGTTACCACAGATCATTCCTCCCCACAGCAATCAGACTGTACAACACACCACTCCAGTGATAAGATAGGTGAAATTATGAGGGACTGTGCAATAATCTACTGTGGTGCAATATTTCAGCTCCTTGGGGTGAAATGCATTGTAAATAGGCTAATGTGTAATATCTTGTTCCTGATCTCTCTCAAATACTGTACATTGCCCTGCTTTAGGTTTTTTTTTAGTTGTTGCTCAGAGATCCTTATGGCTGAAACACAGGTTTCTCTCCCCCATTGTGGGATTAATTGTGTGAGTAATATTCGCTTGTTCTTGATTTCCTGGTTGTTTAGTCTCTACTGCTGTTCCTGATTCTCTCCAGTGCTGCTCTGCCCTGTTTTTAGGTGCCTTTGATTTGCTTATTTGTGCTGTGTAAAATGTAATGTTCTGATGACGCTACTTGTGCGTATCGGTCTTAATGCTTTGTTGCCTTTCTGTAACTGTTTATTTTACGACTAAGTGTTCTTTGTTGCGCTGCGCGGAGTGGCAGCAAGTTACAGCAGCTGTGTCCTTGTTGTGTTCTTTTCCGTGTTTTTATGAAGTTCTGTTCTTATGTGTCTGTTCTTATGGTGTTATGTTGGTTGTTGTCTATTGCTGCTGTAACACAGAAATTTC